CCACTTTTCCCACCCCTCCATATGCCCCCCCTCTCCTCCTTCACTCAGTAATTGTGTATCAACGCTTCCTCACAGCAAACCCACTAGAAAAATAATAAATCAGACCCTCTCATTTCGCGCTTCGGAGGGCAGACTTCAAACACACACACACACACCTACACACACACACACACACACTCTTTCTTGCTCACACGCAGCCATCTTGACACACACAAGAGTGCACTGTTTTCATGTGCACACACACACTTCGACACACACACACCACAAAGACCTCCTACTCTTCGTCCAGACTTTACATCCCTTCCCGCCCACCCCTGCATCTCTCCCTCTTGGGCCCCCTGGTTCCCATGGCGATGTGTGGTCAGAGGTGTCTGGATGGAAGGAGTGAGGTGGGGGGTGTGGGCAGCAGGGCGGAACCCCCCAGCCTGTTTCCCGGTACCCCCCGGGCCCATGTGCATCCACACACACACACACACACGCACACACACGCACACACACATCAGCACCCTGGCAGGGCGACTGATTAACTCAGCCCATCTCCCTGTTAATCTACAAACCTCCATCTGAGCGTTTCTTCTTCTGCTTCCTCACCCCCCCCCTCCCCCCCCCCTCCTCCCAGCTCCTTCCCTCCACACCTGTCTGACTCGTTCAGTCCCAGCTACAGTTCTTATTTTGCCTCCCCTCCCCTCTTCTCTTCTGGTCTTACCTGCGACCATGCCTGTGATGGCAGAGGAGGAGTATCCCGTCTGGGCCGGGGAGGGGATGTGGGGTGGGTACCCTGGCAGGGTGGAGCTCACCATGTCACGCCCTGAACACACACACACACAAACACACGCACACATAAAACACACGAAACACACCAAAACGTAACTTTTGGACCTGAAACACGATGCGAGGAAAAGGCGAAGTAGAACAAAAGCGTTTTTGTTTGTGTCTGTGTCACACCTGAAACTGATCCACTTTGGAAGTCAATCGGATTTAGGATGGCTGCCAACTGATCGTGTAAAAACACAAAAAACGGCTGTATCTCATTCAGATATTGAGCTAAAATGAGCTGACACTAATTCACATCACATTCTCTGACGGCAACATCTTGTAATTTTGCGTGAGATTGAACACAATATAATTTTTCTTTTAAGGTTTGACAAAAACACTGCTATGACTTCATCATTTAGCACAATGCTACACAAACTTTTCAACTTTTGACCCACAAATTAATGGTATATTGAGTATTGGGTATTGAGTATTGGTATAACACACCTGCGCCCCTACTTTTGTGTAATAAACTTTAGTATCAGATCAAATAACAAGTAGTAACAATATTCATTATGCTAATTCCATTCATTTCTAAGTACACTAACTTGACTCCTTTGTTACAACTAAGGCAAAAAAATTGTTGTTGGCAGTAATTATTTTAATGTAATTAATTTTAAAAACACTTTCAAGACTCCAGCTTGATGTTTCAGGACAATCAGGAAGTAAACAAAGACAAATAAAGTGATAAAAACATGTCTAGTGTACCGATACGGCAGGGGTGTCAAACTCATTTTCACTGAGGGCCACATGAGCGTTATGGTGGCCCTCAGAGGGCCATTTGTAATGAACTTTGATGTTTCATGTTTAACTTTAACTAAACACTGTTTTAACATGTCCTCTTTTAAACACTGATAATAACTAACTGTACGACTGACTAAATCTGAAATAAGTACTGAAATATTATCAAAAGTAAAACTAACTTTACTCATTGATGAGTTTCTGGTGAGTAGCTGCATTATGACAGATTTAGTTTATGGTTGATGCTGACTTTAAAGCAGCTTATTATCAGACATTAATACTGAGCTAATCCGACTAAATTGCTCAGTGACCACACAGGAGTCACCCGCAGCCGGCCACATCTAACCCGCGGGCCTTGAGTTTGACACAAGTGCGATACGGCAACACCAATAGGACAAAATTATTCTTCTTCTCCACGCAACCGATTTAAACCTTCACACCTCCACTGGTGTAGTGTGTAATTTTACACTGTGTTGATGGAACACAATAGATGCAAACTACATAAACACGGCCAAAAAAACAACAACAAAAAAACAAAACAAAACGGTCATTTCTAAAAACTTAAGAGGGATGTAGTGGAGTAAAAAGTAAAACTTTCAATAAAAAAATTCTAATTAGGTATAAAGTACAACTTTTCAAAAAAGGTACTTAACAGTACTCGAGTAAATTGACTTTGTCACGGCCCACCTCTGATCAGAACCCACACTGGGGTCTCGACCTCAACTTTGGGAACCACTGATTTATATCAACAACACAAGCTTCTTTTAGTATAAAACTTTAGCATGAATGCTAGTGAGTGCTATGCTTTTCTTTAGGGATTGCTAGGTCTTTAACTTTTTTTCACAAAAAAATAACAAAACAATAAGTAATTTTTGCACATCAGCTGAAACATTACCCCCCACCACCACCACACACACACCATTTTCTTGACTCTACACAACCAGAAATGCCCTCTGCTTTCCTGACACGAGGACAAGCATGAATGAGATGGATGGCCGCATTACCTGAGATGAGAGACTGACTGCTGAACTGGCCGTACACTGGTGCATGATGGGAGAATGAGTTGAAGGTGTTGGGGAAATGATGGCTGGTGGCGCTGCCGTTGCAGCCGCCGCTGCTGACAGAAAGGGGTTTCTGCAGCTCCACGACGGCCAGGTTGGAGGCCGCCATGTTGGGCGAGGGGCTGGTGCTGATCACCTCTGGGGACATTTCCTGTTTCAGGCAGAGCGGGAGCTCTGAGGGAGCGGGAGCCCGTGTGCGAGCAGGGGAGGTGAGAAAATGGAAACAAGCCGTGAACATGAATGAAAAAATGAAAAAATAAAAGGAAAAAAAAAACATGAGATGAAGGTGAGTGGGAAGCTCTTCTGTCTGACTTTTGCTGACGCTTCGGTGTTATTTCTGTGGGTCAAATTCCACCGACCGACATAAAAAGCCTCACCAGTGACCACGGAGAAGCTCTGGTGCGCCGACAGATTTCGTCCAATGACGGAGCTGGATGTTGAGAGGCTGCTTTTGGCCTCATCTAGGCTCCCGTTGATGAGGGACAGTGGGTACAAAGTCTGGCCGATGAAAAACAGAGATTAACTTTTAGTCTAGAGCTGAAGCGCACACGAGTAAAAAGCTTTGGTTTGATTTCCAAAATAGTTTTCTGTTATTAGAGAGAAAAAAAACATTTAAATTGTAAAGACAAAACAAGAAATTTAAGAATAACCTGTTCTGATTTACTGCTTGAGGCGGAGCTGAAGGACTCTGGCGGGTAGAGGTGTCGATCAAAACCACAGTCCAGATGTTGTGTGGCCACAGAGAAATGATCCACTCTCATCTGTTTCCTGGGGACCCCCCCACTGCCTTGAGAGTCCACGCTGTGCCGACAACTCTCCTGGTCACCTGGACAACACATCGAGGAAGACGGACAATGAGACAATAGAATCATGCTCTAAATTTACGATCTTTAAAAGGAATCTGTCAGGATTTTGTGCTCAAATGAAACAAACAAAACGAGCTGATTTTGATTCTGTCATTAATTCTGATTTTGCAAATTCAACTTTGGACAGCCTCTGTTGCACAATAATGGTTCTGTTAGAAAGTGTTCATAATTGGATGCCTGAATAATATGCAGAAAACCACTTCTAGTTCTCAGTTATTTGTTTATTTTTAGATCTAAAAACTCTGTGTGTGGCTCTAGGATTAAACAAAATAGCTTCAAACGTCTACTTCCGTGTCCTTCCAAAATCATAATTTTAATCATATTGATTAATATAAATATTTATCATAGTAGAAAACCTGGTCACATCCAAAGGGTGGGTCCTCTAACATCAGCATTAAAAGGCAAACAATTAATGCTCATCCTGCAGGAGGGAGACACAAATTAACTAGAGACATGATGATCCTATCACTGTTTAAAGCAAATGACTACAACCAATCACAAAGTAGAAGATAAGCCTGCATCTAAAATTAAGTTAATCAATCACAAAATCAGCCTGGTTTTACTCACATTTAAAGATAACCCTCAGTTACATTATTTTGACCTGTGGTGCTCCTCAGGGCTGTGTTTCGAGCCCAGTTCTTTTTAAGTTTGATCATGCTATGATGAGCTTATGACAATAAAAATCCCTAAAACAGATTCCAAAAGCATAGAAGCACCTGTTCTATGTGCTTTAATCCTATCAACACCTGAACTTGACATTTTTACAAAGTATGATAAACAGAGAAAGGTTCCAGATTGTAAATTTGCACAGTTCCCTGTTGTAATGTTCGAACTTACAGTTTGAACCGTAGACAACTCACAATTTAAGACAAATTAAATAAAAACTGACACATTACATTTTTCATATTTTATGTTTTCCTTTATAGGAAAAGGGAAATTATAGTTAGTAGTGAAAAATTGTTCTAATAATTCAGTGCAGAGCCCATACACAAGCTGAAGTTCAAATTTTAATTCAGTCTTCCACAAAATTTAAAAACCATCAAGAGAACTGTTTTTTTTCTCTAGTGTGGATAGTTTGAAGATCTTTTGTCATTTTATGTGTTACATTATTTGTGTTTTGGAGGCCTCCCTTAACAAAAGCTCCTCCTGCATTGGTCAATGATTAATGAGTTATGAGGTAGATACTCAGTTCTCTGTTTGACTTGTACAAAATAATCAACCCTGTTTTACATTTTGCATGCACAACCTATGCGTCACTGTCGGTTTGATCTTTTTCTTTGCTCGGACTGAGGTAAACACCATAACTGCATCTTTTCATGGAAAATAACTGGAAAAAAGATCCAGCAGGCCGGAAGTGTAGAGGTCAGTGAAAGGCAGTGAAAAGCTTGAAAAGTATAAGTTTCTACACTGAGACATTATAGACATAGAGACATTTCACCTGTGTCCAGTTGTCTTCTACTTTGGGTCATGGTGTGCTGGATGACTGAGAATCAATACCAAAGTAACTCTCTACATTTGTTTTGATGGGGATTGTAACGCGCTCCTTAAATACATAGATTTGACTCAGTTCTTACTGTCATCGTGGCTCCTCTTGCCATCCGTGGTGGGTTGGGGGATGCCTAACAAGCCATTGATGGAGTAGGTGGAGCCCAAAGAGTCGGACTGCGGAGACTCTGGAGGGGTGACAGCTGAGCTGGGGACTGAGATACAAACAAAGGTACGGACACAGTTTGGCATCAGATATGGCTGTAAAATCCAGAATTATCATCCCAAACTTTTGAACAATTTAGTCTAAAGTTTAATCTTTTGGCGTCTCGTGAAAATATTGGGTGATATACATGTGACATTAGCCTTACTGTGTGTTTGTAAGCAGACTTACTTAGTGTTTGTCCCGGACTCAGACCTTTTCCATCCAAGGGGAGATTAAAGGGCTGTTGGACTTTTGTTCGAATTATTCTGAAACAAAATGATCAACTTTAAATTATCATTATTTTAAATTATTTTATCTTCAACACCACTTTTGACTGGTTTACAAACAGTGTGTTGATTTGACCAGTTTTTCACCTGTTAATAGAGCTCACACTGGGCACTGTGTCTCCATCACACACGCCCTCTGCCAGCAGCCGGTCTCTGATTTCCCACGCGAACATAGTGGGATTCTGCCTCTTGTACTCTGCGATTTTCTCCACGACCTTCGGGGTAGCCACTTTGGGCTTGGAGCCACCAATGACGCCAGGCTTGATGCTGCCTGTCTCGTAGTAGCTGAGGGACAGAGTCATTGTGATAAAAAAGAAGAAGAAGAAGAAGAAGGAAAATTGTAGTCATGTCTCACACCAACAAAGCGTCCTGAATAAGTAAACGGGTCAAAGAACAGCAGGAAGTGGAGCGAGGCACTCACCGCCCCAGGATCTTGCTGACGCAGCCGTGGCTGACCCGGAGCTGCCGGGAGATGTCGCAGGGCCGGACGCCCTGGTGGGCCATGTCCACGATGCGTTGCCGGATCACCTCCGGAAGCGGACGGCCATTAACAAACATTCCACCTAGTTGGTTAAGACCCCCATGACCTGGGGGAGGAGGGGGGATGAACACTTATAAATGTCATGGAACAGAAAACAGTTTGTACACACCTGCACGGTCACAAGCTGCTGACTTGAATATTATGATATTTAGGTTTTAGCCAATCCTGTAAAGCAACGTGAAATTTACTGCAAACATGTCTGCTGTAATAATAGCAAATTAATACTGTATATGCATGCATGCAGGCAGGTACTATGGTATTAATTTGCAAACACAGTTTTAAGTAGTTATTACTGCACGTAGGAAAAATTTGTAGCATTTCACAACCGTGACGTTTTTATTCTGTTCTTATTTCGGTTTCAGAGAAGCATCTATTAACTTATTAAACATTTTATGAAGAAACGCAGCAAGAAGATTTCTTGTTTTTCTTTCAGCTGCTTTCCTTCTGCAGGGGTTGAACTTTTAATTTTACACTGAATGCAACCTGGGCTCGAACTTGTGACCTCAGAGTTACTGTGGCACTGAGCGCTGAGCTGCTGCGACCCCATAAAAGCATCAAGAAAAACAAGTTTTATCATCAATAAAGCCATGAAAACAGCAGACAATGGCAACAGTTGGAGGAAAAAACAGAGATTTTTTTTTTTACTTTGATCTGACTAAATAAGAATCAAAAGCCTGGGAAATGTTCAAATCAAATAAATAAATAAAAATCAAACATCCAGCAGTTGTTTAACTACAGCCAGCAAAGCAGTTTTTTCCACACTAATCATTATAACAAACTAATTACCTCACTATAAATAATACCTGCTGGCGTTTTACTCCCTGGTTCTCGTTTATAAGCAGACACTTTTCTTTTAAGTGCAGGAAACATTTTTTAGAAAAAGATCACATAAAACTGTTGATCCAGGTTTGATAAACTCAAAAATATACAAATGTTCAGTTGCTTCACAAAGAATTTCATTATAAAAGCAACAAACTGGAGGAAACACAAAGTGTTTTAGAATATTTGAGTTAAAATGAATTCATGATTTTTTTTTAAATAGAAAAAAAAGAGAGAAAAAAAACAAAACAACAACAGCCGGTACAAAATGTGACAGCTGTTCTTGTCGGTACAAACAGCCTGCAGACAACAAGCTCCACTATATCTGTATCTGCTCAGCACCCAGAACACTTTTCATTTAACCCATTGAGTTAAAGCTCATCTCTCTCAGGGCTTTTTCCTTTCTTTCTTTCTTTCTTCCTTTCTTTTTTTTTTCTTTTTCATCCAGCTTTCATTTCCACATCAAACGGCGGCCGGACGAAGGAGGGCAGGCCTCTATTAACGCCACCAGCGGAGTGTGGAGAAAAATCTCCCCGCCAAGCTTCATCAACCTGCAGGATATTAAAGCCCGAGCAGAGCAGAGCTGGGGGTCGGAGGGTGGGGGGGGGAGTGGAAGGGCCAAGGAGGGTGCACAAACAAAACAAAAAAAAACACACACACAAACACATAGGTACTGTGCAGAAACCTTAAATCAGTCCAAAAACCAGCATCAACATTTATTATAAACGGTTTAATGTTTTACTTATGTTCCTGCTTATTGTTCCACCTATAGACCTCCATTAAAACATTTGTTCAGAAACACAAATTCAAATTTCAGAGCACAAACTGTGCCACAAGCTGCCTCTGATGGTACACAGAGCTGATTCTGACGTTAGAATCAAGTCCAGATCAAACCTAAATACAGCCTTGGTGCAGAGTTTAAGAAGTAAACATGTTAGTTTGTGGTGAATCAGTTCAAACAACAGAAACATGAACAAATGAAACAAAGCAAAAATGATAAATGTTAGAAAACTCAGGGGCATTTAGCTTGTAAAAAGTAAAAAGAGGAGCTAGGCATTGATTTGAAATGAACTATATTTCTGCACAGTTTAAATTTGCAAACTGATACACGGACAACCTTTCGGCCCCTCTGGTTTTTGAGTCTGGGTGTGCAAATATCTTAGCACAAGTTTGCTAAAATTTTACTGTTAACACTGAAAACATGAAATGTGGGTGCTGTTTGAACTGCAAGTATTCTATCTCAAATCCAATTATTTCAACTCATGTTAACAGAGAAAATGAAGACGTTTTGTTCCATTAAAGTAGCTTTTAAGACTAGTTGAATCCAGCTTTATATAAAACATACTATTTCTTTTGAATAAAAATGAATGAATGAATGCTTTTATTATTATTATACATCAGTACAATTGAGACTGAAGCTGGCAACTCCTCTTACAGTGCAAACATATCCACTTAAAAATAGTGTTAAGGTAGGATATAATTTTTAATAAATCAGGTTCAAAAGTAAAAAGTAAATAGTGGTAAAAACTGTCCAAATGTGCGCACATTCACATTACTCTTGAGGTCCATGAAACACTTTTTTAATAACAAAATTGAAGTTATTTTTTGTCTCGTTTGCTTTTGGGAAAAATCATGGGAATCTATTGCCACACGTGACCTGTTTGGTGAGGACAGAGTTTCAAATAATTTAAGACATTTAAGTGACCGGGTTTGTTTGACACAAATTTTGTGTGGCTACAGTTGTTCATTTTGACATTTTTTAAATGTCAGACACGTAAATATTTATTCTTATCTCAGTCAGGACAGTTGAAACCTTAAATCTGAACGTTTTCTGACACGGTGTGCAAACCTTAAAGCCTCTGTTACAAAATATTAAGTTCTATGCTGTCAACTTAACGTCCCGTGCACTGAGTTCACTGTTTTATTCTTCCAGCACGTACGCAAAATCAAACCTTTACAGCTTGTTTAAGTGCAGCAGGATAGAAGCAGCTGTCTGGGTTCAGCTCTTCCCATCAGAGCATCAGGCTTGTGTTGTGGATTTACCTCTTCCAGAGTTACTGGACATATCCCTGAGTTTCTGGCTCTCGTCCCAGCAGCTGAACGTGACGCTGTCCTCCTCAAAGTGGTCTTTACTGAGCCTCGGCTGACATGAGTGAGGCCTCCTCCCTCCCCCTCTACGACTGCACCGCCACCGGAACCGAACTGCAGAACGACAGGAAACATGAAGCTCTCTGTCACACGTGTTCCCTCACACGGAGCAAACAATCGGCTGGTTTTCCCCCCACCTTCATGCCTGTCGACCTGACATCAGAGCGTTGGAGATGAGCATTGCTGCCTGACACTGATGTCTCCAAACCAACATATATTTATTACTTGTGTTGAAGAGACAGAAAACTAAAAACTTACCAGACCTGTGTCATAAAAAACCTGCAATGTAATGGTGTGAAATGTCTAAACATTATTTTTATAAACTGCTAAAAACTGACAAATCTGGATTGTTTTGTCTGTTTGAAAAGTGATTTAAAAGGGACAAAAGGATCGTTTTTGGAGCCGAAAACTCGCAGGGATCAATCTTCAAGCAGATTTAAAGAAAACTTCAAACGAAACTGACAGCATGACATTTACATTTTGTCACTTTAGCAGACGCTTTTATCTAAATCCACATAAAAAAACGAGCTTCGGCTCAGAAATGACAGCTGTTAGAACAAAATAAATTAGAAATTAATTCAAGGTTTGGTTTTTTACTGCAGAAGGAAAATTAAAACAAACTTTTTTAAAACTACAAGAATTTTCTCATATTTTGGACACTTTGTGAAAAATGTAAATGATTTTCTGATAGCTAAAGTTAAATTTGTTGTTTAATGTCATTAAGTGTAAGCTTTCCTGTAAGTCTCCATCTGTTTTGTGTTTCAGGATGACTTTCAACGCTGACAAATTCAGAATTGATGTCAAACTGAGATGACAGCTCAGTTCTGGCACAATTATGGATTCTGTTTAGTTTTGTCCACAACAAAATTAAAATTAAACTAAATTATCGTTTTTCAGCATCAATTCATAAACATGTATTTGACTGCTGGATTTTTTGATAAAAAAAAAAAAACAGAAGCTGAATAAAAGATTTGCTGTGTTTTACATATTTCCATTTAATTTTTATTTTCTGTTTCTAATATTTTTTGTTATATCCTGCTGATAGCTGAAACAATAAGCATGTCATAATATGACAGTTGTGTGATTCAAATGTTTTAAAAGGTTTTTATTAAATTTATCCTTTCTATGAATCTTCGGCTCCTTTAAAATGTTTGTGGATTAACTTCGACAGCCACTACAAATCATTTTTTAAAACAAGTAGTCCTGTTGCGATATTTTATTTTACTTAATTTTATAATTTTTTTTTGTTATTTACTATTTGTTTTATGACATTTTCTGACTAGGTAAAATAGATGATTAAAGCTGTGAACATTTCTAAAACAAATCAAGTAATAACTGATTAGATTAGATTATTCTGGTGATGATTTTTAATAAATCACGTTTTGTAAAATAATTTGATATTTGAACACAAAAATCTGGGAATAAAGAATGATGAATAAAAGTTACTGTTATCAGTGAGTGCACCTCTTTTCTTTTTGTGAATTATATATTTTTTCTTTTCCTCTTTTTTTATTCCCCAGCTGCGCAAAACAAAGTTTAAACTCAGCAAATGACGTTAAAACATTCTGATTCGCGGGTTCTTTGATTTCATTTTGATACAGTTTGTGTTCGGCTGAAACCAAAACTGTCCACATTAAACCCTCTTGGAAATAATAAATAAATTTATCATTTTCATTTGCGCCTCAACATTTAGATAACTCCTCTCTTATTAGTGGATAAAAACAGGAAACCATCATTTTAGGAGCTGCTCATTAAATCTTCCTGTTGTTTTCACAGACTAGACGATGTAAAAAAAAAAAACTGAAACAAAACGAGAGCTTACCTTTCCACAGAGCAGCTCCGAATCAAATTACAGAGAAAATAAGAGTTTCCGCAGCAGATTTATTTGTAGTATCCACCTGATGGGGGGTCTGAACCGCGGTGTGTGTGAGAGAGAGTGTGTGTCCAGGCTGAAGCAGGACTGCCACCTTTCGCGGTGTGCGCGGTGTGTGTCTGTGTGTGTGTGTGTGTGTGTGTGTGTGTGCGTCGGAGCCGACGTTCAGGCAGATTTTATCCAACCGGGAGCCGCGCTGAGGACTGCGCACCGCCGCCATTGGATGCGGAGGGAGACAAGGGGGGCGTGGCTTCTCCAGGGAGGAAAGGGAGGTGAGGAGGGGGTGAGGATGACCGAGCGTGTGTTTTGGTGGCATTCCACCCACTGAGTGAGTGGAAGAAAACACTTGTCAGGAGAGAGACGGCTTGTTTTTTTTCCCCCCACTCAGCTGCTGCTGCTGCGCTTTTTTGCTCTGACTTGTTCCAGGCAGGTGAGGTGGCTGAAAAAAAATAAAAAATAAAAATAAAAACTGATCCTGGATCAGAGAAGAGTCTTGAGCTGATGGAGAAAACTGTTTGAAAAGCGACTTTTTAAAGGGAACAGATGCAGTTTAGTTTTACGCAGCGCCGAAAAATGACAATTTTTTTTAATGCAAAGAGAAAACCGCAAAAAAGTCAGAATTTGAACATTATAATTACCTTTTAACTGATTGATTTAACTTTTTTCTTTAAAGCGACTTGATATTTGCAAACTCACTTTTTTTCTGCAACGAATGAGGGATTTTCTCTCCAAAAAGTTAAATTTTTAGTCTGCATCTCGTGTTTTGAACAATAACTTTAATTACATCATCATTTTTGTCTCATAAATACATCTTATTGATGTGCTTAGAAACTTAAAATTTAAAACTTGTCCAATAATAAAACAAATAAATCTAAAGGACAAACAGCCGTCCTCAAAACGCGCCCCTTTTTCTTCATAATTTATGTTTTTTTGACGAGCTGATATTTCATTTTCTTTAAAAACTAATAGCCTAAATATTACAGGAGACTGTAACAAGCTCGAGCACTTTGTTTCAGTTAAAGTCCTAGAATTAAATATTTTATATTTGGAGCGGCTAAAATTGCGCAGGAGTTTGGCACGTTCATGCGCCAAATCCATCCATTCAGGCGTAATTTGTGCAACACACACACACACACACACACACACACACACACACACACACACA